CACACACACACACACACACACACACACACACACACACACACACACACACACACTTTTTTGATAGCTAACTTCTATCCAACAGAAACAGTATGTGCTATTAATGAAAGTTTTTGTCTATTTTCCTCACACTGAAAATAATCAAATCATATTAATGTATGTCCTATAATTGTTATATTCATTAAGGTGTTTTATGATTAATTTGTAGATTATCCACTAACCAATTGCCCAAATAAATATTTGTTATGTATTTTCCAACAAGCAGTTCGAAAATAAATGATTGTGTGACTTGTCAGCCTGTGTTATGCAAAAATAAAATAAGATAAAATAAAAAAAAAAAATATAAAAACAAGGCTCAGATAAGAGGTCAGATAAAGAAAAGGCTCAGAGAAGAGGTCACTTGTAACTTGATCGATCGCTGCGCGGAGAGGCAGACGGTCCACACCGTGCGATCCCGTCCTGCGTGTCAGACCGAGATCCAGCAACGCGCGCGGCTACCGAGCGAAGAGATGGAGGAGGAAGTGGTGGATTTAACAACTGTTGCTTTTGCTGCTGCGGAACCATCGAACCTCCAGTCCGCGCTGCATGGTGCATGTCGGACAAGAACAAACTGTATTCCAAGCCGAGACACTCATTGTGGATCAGAGTCCATGGGATTATAAAAAAGAAAAGAAAAGAAAAAAAAAAAGCGAGCGAGAGAGAGAAAGAAAAAAAAACGATGCCTGTTGAATGTCACTGCTTTACGGTCCATTCTCTCGCGGCTGTGTTGGCTTCCAGACGCTTCAGAGCCGCTGGAAGGCGCATGTCTGCAGCAAAAGGCGGACATGGCGCGTCTGTCTGATGAATGGAAAGCCAGGCTGGCTCTAGTGTAGACAGCGGTGATCGGATAACCTGTTGAACTGCAGCAGCTGCCAGTCATGTAGACATCACAGACAGCAATATATGTATATATAAAAAAAGCACTTAACACGAGAAGCTCAGCGCGGTGTCACAAAAACAACACAGTTGGCCTGACGGTGTTGCAGCTGGTGGTTAGTTGAAGAGATGTGCTTGCCTGCAGGTAATTCAATTATATGCATGTTTAAACTTTAATAACTATTAAATGCAATTACCACGTTTTTTTTTTTACTTTGACATAAAAATAGAAGTATGCATACATATTAATTTAGTTTCAAGCGCATATTTGCACACACCAGTGTAAAAAGTGCATTTTAGAAAGACATTTGATGGGACATCTCTCTGTGGGAGGCTTCATCTTTTTTTTCCTCTTTCTCTACATCAGCAATTAGAAACGCGACTCTAGATTCAACCTTGAGTCACATCTCCACAGCAGCATTTTCAGCATTAACCTGCCCACGGATTTCCAGTAAGTTGGTTTTTGAAAATAGCTTGGCTGCTCCCTGTCGCTATGGCTAATTCCTTAGGAACCGGTGGATCCAGTTTGATCCATCCCTCTCTTTCTCTCCCTCAACCAACTTGTTGAGTCTTTCCCCTGCTTTGTTCCAACTATACAAACGTGCAAGCCGTCGGTTGAAAAAGAAAGAAAGAGAGAGAAAAAAAAGCTGCGTGACTTCTGATGAGTTTGAGTTAAGCGAGAGTTGGTGTGGATGGGACGGCGTCGAAGTCGATTTTAAAGGTGGGGGAAAAAAAAAAAAACTCGACAGGGGGGCCACGCACACAAGAGGGAGGCTTCCACTCAGCGCCTGTCACCTGTGGGACTCTGATGCGCGCCTCAACTTTTGACTGCCTGATCTTGATCATTAAAGCTGCTTTCTGTTTCACTGGACTGTCACATGCTCATCCGGATAAAACATTACACTTCATCTTGAGCCTTGACTGGATACATTAGGTAAATTTATTTTTTTGTTATTGTTTTGTTTATTTATTTCAAGGGAGGTGGAGACAGCGTTGGAACCCACCCTCCCTCCATCCTTGCCTAAACAGTTTTGCACAGAGGAAGCATTTGAAGGTAACTATATATATAT